GAAGAGGAAGGCCTCCTCTGCGTTGGAAAGACCAGGTGGAGAAGGACTTGGCTTCACTTGGCATTTTCAATTGGCGTCAGTTAGCACATAAGAGAAATGACTGGCGTGCTGTTTTGGACTCGGCCAAAATCGCTTAGGCGGTTACAGCGCCAATTAAGAAGAAGAAGAAGATTCCTTAAAAACTTACTAGCTGATCTCTTGGAACTACAATAGAGGCTGATGGCTGGCGAAAGGGTGCAAAGATGCTTCAATAGATTAACTAATGTTAATTCCCCTTCCTCTTACGTAAACGAATGTGGTCATTATGAGAGATTTGTAGAACAAAAAAAAAAATTGTGCAACGGAAGCAGTGTTGCCAGGTTTTGAAGATTTTCTACTGTCATGTCGATTTGACGATTTTTGTGACCCAATGACATGTGCAAATTTGGCTGGTTCTCAAATTCAAATTTGTAAAATTAGCTACACAGACTAAAAATTGCAGTGTAAACACTTTTTGCTAATTTATAATTGCCATATCGAAATTATATCATGTAGCAGCACTAATCGTAGTTATCGGTAAGTAGCTTTCTTCTTTGTTTCATCACTATTTGTGTAGTTTTTGGCGGTCAAATTCGTAATTTGTGCGTTGTGACGTTGTGCACTGGTGTATATTTTATCAAGCGATGGGAATTATGAATAAGTTATTTAGCAAGACTTGTAAGTATGAACAGTTTTTGATGCACATCGTTAAGTTGCAGTTTGAAAAAAAAATGAAGATGGGAATGTAATTTTATTGCATTTAAAAATATTTTTGTTGAAAGTAATGCGAATTTTAAAAATTCGTAAAAAAGTTAAGCTCTTTATTTTTACGCATAGCAATCAGAAACTAGAATAAAATGAAAAAAAAAACAAAAACAAAAACAAAAGGGCTTCCTGGTTCTGTTTATTAAAATTTCTTAAATGCAAATGACGATTTTTGAGAGCCAAACTGAGTATCCCTCACTTCAATGATCTGGCAACGCTGAACGGAAGAGAGATCCGCCTTTTAAAAGCCTAAAGAGCACAGAAAAGATCTGGGGGAAAGAGTTATACTGAATGAGTAGTTTCTTCTCCAATTTGGCGATTTAGAGAACAGTGTGGACTTTGCTGGCGTACTGAAGTAGATACACGACGACACCGAACTGGGCTACGTCCAGCCCATTTCGTATTTTATTAGGTTGGGGCGTATAAATGGTGCAAAAGGCTAGATGTATTGGCTTATACTGGGTGGTTGACAAGTTTATTACTAACTTCTCTAAAATGTGAACTTGCCATATCGCCGTTTAAAGTGCAAAACCGCGTATCAACAAAATGCAAAACCGCGTATCAGCGAAATGCAAAACCGCGTATGTGAAGTTGTAGAAATTATTTTCTAGAGCATAAAAACACTCATATTTCAAAATGGTCCTCTTTTTTATAAAGCAATCGCATTTCTGGCTAGTATATTTCAGGACGAATGGATTGAGCCAAGAGCTTGTGTGAGCAAATCCGATTTTTGGCAACCAATGTCAGTTACGCGGTTTTGCAGAATGACGATACGCGGTTTTGTACTTTAAACGACGATATGCATTAGTGTTCGGACCGTCTTTCAACACACGTTGGTATTAAGGGTTAAGTCGAGTTGGGAAATCCAACGGTGAGTCCTTGATCTTCTAAAGACTCCTTTACCCGGCATGTAGAACATAGCTCTTATTAAGCCCGGAAAAGATGATGTCAAACCTTTCAGAAATGTTCAGTTCTAACAAAACAAAATTCCTCGCCGTTCTCACTGCGCACTGACCTATTCGCTTCCGCGCCACAAATCAAAGTGAAAACCTTCAGAAAACTGTGGTGGAGCTTTTCTACACATATGATTAATGTAATTCTGCATAGTCGTTTAAGTTTGGTGTAGATGTCAAATTTTTAAATGGCATTAAACGGATTTACGGACAACGAAAATGCTTACATAAAAACATGTTTTAATTTTTTAGGTATGTTTTTATACATTTGCACACAAGTTGCCACAATCTGTAATTTTTAGGCGACTTCAAAAAAGGTGGAGGTTGTCAATTCGTCAGAAAATATTTGATTTGGATCACGTTAACCGATTTCTATAATAAAGGAAAAGTACCACCTCAGAGGTGCTCACTAATTTGGTTTAGTTCCGATCATTGGATTGTGAAGAAATTAACGGTAGATACTCTTAAATTTTTATATGAAAATTAAAGTCAGTTTTTTTTTGCTTAAAAATTACTTGTTATTTTCTCTTATTCATTCTGTTGTATTTAGTTCTCGTATTCACGGTAATGTCGCCATCGCTGAACTTCAATTTGAATTATTGAGTAAAAACTCTTCCCTACAGGGTAATGACCGCCACATCCATTTGCATAACTGAATATGTATATGTATATATGTATGTATGTAAATATATGAACAATGTGTGTTCTTTTACTTAGTCATTGTGTGCATTTGGCTTTGCAGCTGAACTCCGAACGTTAGCCATGAACTTTTAGCGCCATCACCATTGTCACCATCAACCATGAAGAGCACAAATTATTTTCGATAAGTGAGAAAGAGCGATTGAATGCACAGGCTATAGGAATTAAAATTTTCAAATTGAAAGCTTCAATAACTAGTAAACAAATATAATATAGTATAGTAAACTACACAAATATATATCTAAACTATTCATCTTTATAATAAGGACGTGCCTGTGTACATATGTATGTATTAGCAATAGTTCGTAAATTACTTATGTTCACTAGATTTCTTATTTTTAAATTCTCTAACATTTCAATGCCATGGTCATGCACTTGCATGCTGAGATTTTTCATTTTACAAATATATGTACTTCAATTTAGTTATGCGCATATGTAATTATTTAATTTATTTATATTTAATTATATAATTTTATTTATCGGCGCATAACATGCAAACGTTTATTTCACCCAACTGAATTATAACACTATGGTAATGGTCTTAAGATCTTTTACCGTCAATTTATCTCTGATTAAATAATTAAAGAAAGGACGGCAAACAAACGTTGCAGTGAATATGCAAATTAAAACGCCTCGCGGAAAAAAGGTTTTACCTCCTCAAGCAGTTCATAAAACTTGATTTACTTATTTTATGACTTTCAATTCAACGTCTTTTGTAGCTCATGTTGAAAATACAGTGAACCACAAAGCCTGGATAAAGAGAATTTTTTGCAATGTATGCAAAGAATGTTAACTTTTTTATTTTCGCTAATTTTTTTTTAAAATATAGTTTATAGATATCTACTACAATAAAAAAAATAAAAAAATTCTTAACGTTATGCAAAACTCGGAAAAATTTGTTTACAAACTTTCTAAACATATTTTTTAGAAAACTTAGTTTTTGCAGTTCTTAACTTAGACAAATTTAGTGCAAGTTTGAGGTTTCCAAAACACCCCATTGATTTTTGATGTATTTTTAACAGGTGGTAACCATCTGAAATGTAGTTTAGAAATAAATCCTTTTCAAAAACGTTTCGTATCAATATTATAATAATTCACTTAACTTATTAATTAAATTTAATTTCAGTTTGAAATAAGAGGCAACCTTCTTCAAACACCTAAAAAAAAAACCAAAATGTCCAAACTAAAGATTTCTTAGTACTCTTGAGTTTGACACCCATATTTCAATATTTCCTGTCAGTTGTGTATAATTTAATTAAAGTGGACTTTTCAAACATGTGGCAACCCTCTTAAAAATATTTTCAAACTACCGATGAATGTGTTCGTAAAGGATCTGCATCAAAACTTTAACAAAAAAACCTGCCGACATCTTTTTGGAAGTAATTTTCTTTTAAAAATATGAATATGAGATTAATTGTGTGGTTTTCGTGAATTTTTTTTTAGTTTGGATTTTCATCAAGTTTTAAAGTTTAAAGAGCTACATATTTCCAGCTCTCAAGAAAAACGAAAAATTCATATAAAAAGGCGCACAAGAAACGGAAAAGAAATTTTCTTCTATCAAAATTTCTTAAATCAGTTTGCAGCTCTCAAGAAAGAAATGCTCGTATATTTATTTCTCCAAGAAAATTTACATCAAAACCTAATTGATTTTTTAAGCAACACAAATAATGAAAAATCTTTCTTGTGATTTTTTTCGAGTGCTGGATTATAAGCTTAATAATCAAAAAATTAATGGGCCATTCTATTGTAACTAGTGGGACATTTTACTCCAGAATGTGATCATTTCTGAATTTAACCTATGTCGTCGGAACTTATACAACAGCGAAAGGTATTTTTTAACATTGAACGATAACTAATGTATAAAATTGCTTTAACAAAAATACCAAAGGATTTCTTAGTTTTATGTAACTATTGTCTAAATGAATGTGACTGGTGGGACACAGAAATGAACTCTATTTTACCCTTGTGCACTCAAAGATTAATTTTAGCCAAAACCCTTAATTTTCACGAAGGATGTGTTTGTGTTGTAAAATATGAATTATACGCTTTCGTTTTCAATAAAAGTGAGTTTTATATAATTTTCATAGAAATATTAAAAAATATTTAAAGTTGTGACTGGTGGGACATCTCCTTGTGACTGGTGTAAAGTATGCATGAAATAAAAGTTTCCATAGACAAAAATTACAACTTATTTTGATTTTTATAATATTTCCCACAGGTTAATGAAATGTAGTCATTCAAAAAGAGGTTACTACTGAAATAGAGATAATTAGGGCATATTTAAATGTATGTCGTTTTCCACTTTTCAATGCAATGGCCCTAATGGGACTGCCACATTTTGATAGATTTTCATTTCATTAAAAGGTTAACCCATTCAAATCCCCGATCGCTTTAACCCAGGGCTTGTACTACCTGGGGCGCTTGGACAGCTGTGACCGGCCCTGTGCGTAGCTCTTACGGTAAAGTTTATAGTTTTAAAGTTAAATAACTAAAGCCTTTTTACTTAACTTAATTGTCACCCTAAGAAAAAAATAATATGTAGTCGCTAATTACTTATATACTTACATTTCTTTACTTTATTGCTTCGACACTGGAAAAAGAAAAAAAAAGTGCATTAAAATTACATTTGCAATAAATAATTAATTGGATTGAGTAAGACTTAGATTGACTAAGTGATGCTTTCAGAGTAATTATTTCAGTTTAACTTTTATGGATCAATTAATGCAAATAAATTGATAAATTCCATAAGTTTAACTTGTGCTTCTTTAGTCAGTCACTTCCTTCAAAGCGCTTTTACCAGTGTGGATATCTCAAAAAACTAATGACATTTACTTTTATTGCAAAGTTTATTACACACAAATCTCCTGGTGTATGTGGCATTTGCCCATTTATATTACATCATAGTACAGGTACAATCGCTATTAATTAGAATAATGCATGAAAGTTTCGTACCACCATGTACCGTAATGGTGGAAGAGATTAATATTTTATTCACACCCGGGGAAAAACTTATGTATAGACCAATGAGCCTCAGTTCCTTTCTAATCAAAACTTTAGAAAAATATTTGATTTCCACATCAGGGATACGTAATTATTTAAAGGTCAATCCTTTGTGTGAAAATCAACATGCTTCCAAAGCCTAGCTCGGGTTGAGTATGAGAATATACCATAGCCGTAACTGATGACTTATGGATTAATCGCGACGTCTATGAGATCCCAACATCATTATGCCCGACACTCAATAACAGTGGTACTGAAGAATTATTGACGCTGAACAAAACTGCAATACCGGCGTCATCACAGGGCCTTCGATGGCGCAAGCTAACATGCTCCCTCGGCAGAAGCTGTCGGGATGAGAAATTAGAGGACTCGATACCACTTCCTATGTCAATGCGTAGCTCTTCAGGCAAGGCGTCTGAAACATTTGGGATCACGTAGATGCTATACTGACAACATGGAATAACTTCGGCTAGAAAGATGTGCCTGGTCCACTGTGTGGAAGTCTTCCTCCGAGTGGAAGTACGAGTCATTCGTACACTCCTTCCTAAGGTCACCTAACCTTTCCTATAAGCGTTGAGTAAAATAATTGGATTATCTCTAGTCAGATTGCAAATCGCATTCAATAGAGATTCATTTTAAATGACTTTTTTCTTGGAGATCTTATTTGGTGAGCATCAGTCAGTTTGTTCGTTTTTAATGTGTAATCCCTATTAATTAATTTTATTTTTTCCTTGCATTGAAATTTTGTTATTGTAATGGTTATTTAGCAAAAGGATGTCGCAAAGCTACCAGTGTCTTTTATAAACCTTCATTAATACGTACATATGTATGTAAACATATGTTTAAATGAAAATTGTCATAGCATGTGGTCAACCTTGTCCATTGCTGCTAATAAACTGGTTTCAAGCACTTTTGCTTAACATTGTGGCCTGCTAACATTGATATTCCTATGTATCAAACGAAAGAGCTGAGCAATGAGTAGTGATTAAATCGAGTTCAAAGTCTTGAATTAGTTAGTCTCCAGCTACTAAGCATTTGCACTGATTTAAGTTAAGAGATTTGATACGTTTTACAATGTTTACTTTGTATTGAAGGTAAATGACAAGGTTAATTGGTGTACACAAGAAACACAAGAAAAGCTATTAAACTCAAAAATGTACAAGTATGCAATAAAAATGTGGAGTAATAATTTGTTGCATAAAAATGTGTAATAAAATGTAGTTAATTTTTTTAGTTACAATTTTTTCATATGCGCAATTGATTAATAACCATTGTGAGCAAAATTTATTTAGTTTCGTTTTTATGCGAGTATCTACCAGCAAATGTTACAAGTTTTTTTTTATTGCTTCAACGTGACACATTTCAAAGCTGCCTAGAAAGCTATTGCTATATAATATTGAGTATGCAATGAGTTTCGTATATTTTACAGTTAAGGTCAGAGAATTGAAAAGAGAGTACGATGTTTTTTCTAACTACATTTCTTAAATTCTATAAACTCAATACACAAGAGCAATGCTTTCATAGATTAGAGTCTGCTATATATTTAATTGAGAGTTAGAATTACTTAATTTATTTAGACTCAACGAGGTACATATCATTGACGCCAAAACTCGGTTGTATATGTGGCCTAGTTAAGTAAGAGTTGGGTACATTTTCTACGAATACAATCGACAGTACCTCTTCGCAAATTTTTATAAGTATATTGACAACATTGGCTGAATTTTTTTATGATGCATATCTGCCAAGACTTTCGATTAGGAATACCCTTCACTAAACCAACACATAACTGGCATATGATGATTCATATCTTTAAATTCTAAAACCAGAAGTAGGTATTCGCTTACACCATTCGCTACGACAATAGAAATGTATAAAAAAGCATTCGAAAATATTCTCTTGTGATAAATTGTTCCTGAGCTGGTCAATTCTGTATTTTCTTCTCCGATACGGATTCGATCCAATAAAATGTTCCTCCTTGAGTATTTTTTTCTGAATAGGCTTTTGTAATCTGTTCAGAGTTGTATACAAAATTAATATAGTTCAATATTCTGTATTCAAAACTCTGCACGATGAGTCAACAAGTATCCTTTTCCTTAGAACACAAAAAAATATTAACAATATTGGTTTATGCGAAAGCTGTACTCACGACAATTCAAAATGGCCAAAAAATACTCCAAAAGATATAAAAAGCAAATAAAAAAAATTCTAAAAATAACAAATGCTGCTTTGGACTGAGGAAGCGCTTGAAAATCTAAGTCTTCCATCGTCAAACGACCATCACACTCCATAAGTCACTCATCAGATTCAGCGGATCCCGCTAACAGTAGCAGAGGACGAGAAAGGCCTTCCCTACGCTAAAAATATCAGGCGGAATAGGATTTGGATTCACCTGGCATTTCCGATTAACTGAAGAGAAACGACTCGAACGCTTTGCTGGGCTTGGCCAAGGTCGCTTAGGTGATTACAGCGCCAAGCATGAAAAAGAAGAAGGACCGTCGGGAATCGGTTAGGATTGTTAGAATTCGCCCCACACTTATCGCACACATCACCGATACAAAAAAAAATTTAACTAGATGTCCATTTTCTAATCTTGTTCCGAGCCCTGAACTCGCCAAAACATTAGGAAAGGTTTAAATCCACAGAGTGGAGGATAAGACATAACCAAACATCTTCAGTGTATTTTTAGTTGCGTCTGTATACTTTGCCACAGATTGGAAGTGAAGTGAAGTGAAGTGATAACATCTGCATATGAATGGACCTTACAGTTTACCATTCCACTACAAACTAAAAGGCTAAACGCTTTAGGGCTAAGACCTCTTACCCTAGCATCACTTCTTTTTCATTGTTTTACTATTTCGACTGAAGTACCAATTTTCTTATTGATTTCAGCTTAAACAATATTCGATCAACAGCAATTGACGCCTTAGCAAAACGACAAAAAAAAAAATAATAAAATCTAAGGAGTCATATACGCAGTTTATTCGTGCTACATATCTGAGGGTGTTGCAAAACAGTGATTGTGTGTATGTACATATTCATATGTGTATGTATGTTTGCTACTTTTCGCAAGCACAGCCATCAGACTACACTAAATTGACGTACGTGTTTATATGCTTTAGTATTAGATTTTCGATGTTTACTATTTTTTCTGCTGCTCTCCGCTGCTACTCGTACGCTTTTGCGTTTTGATTCATTCTGTTTAGTAGTTGATCGCCAGCTATTTATGCATTACTGTTATTGCTGCTACATATTGTTATTACAATTGATATTACTTTTACTATTTGTATTTGTATTTGTATTTGTATCGATGGTGTTATGAGCAACAAACATAAAGATTGCCCAAAGCGCAAAATATAAAAAACAAAATAATCGCTGCAACAATCACAACAGCAGCAGCAACAACAATAAGGCGTAGCATAAAAATAGTGCCATTTAACGTTTAGCTGCACGCTGAGTGCCAATAATAAAAAAACTTTGTGTGTTGGCAACCTTAACAGCTTTACACCATGCCCAATAAACATTTAGGTTTACGTTCACCTCAAGTGGAGTATCATAGCGTTCTCAACATAAAGGGCATTTTTCTTTGTATGTTGAGAAAAAGCTAGTTCTCAGCTTGAACTTCAATTGGTCGCAAACATATCGCTGAAATACTGAAACAATAGTAAAATAATGTATACCTTTTTGATTGAAACGATATCGTTACCAGTTCAAAAACGCTCTGTTTTAAAAAAACTTTTGAAGAACGCCCTATTTCAGAATTTTATTTCAAAACATCCTATCTCAGAATTTGGTTGAAGGACACGCTATCTCAGCTGCCGATTCAAAAGCGCCCTATTCCAGTACATTTTCAATGTATTTTTAGCTGAGATAGGACGCTCTTCAACCAAATTCGGAGATAAGGAATTTTTTAATAAACTTCTAAAATAGGGCATTCTTCAATCAAATTCGGAAGAAAGGCGTTCTTGAAATTTTTTTCTGGGATAGGGCGTTTTCGAACTGGCTGCCGAGAAAGGTCGATCTTCCCCTCAGGTGCCGATATATAAATTTAAATTTTTATTTTTATTTTTTACTGATTTTATAATATGTACTTAATCAATATCGTATTACGATAATTCACTTCAGCGCGTCTACAGTCCGACAGTAAGTCAAACACTAGATTCACTTCGCTTTTTATTTTCTTTGAAGACATTATTTACTTTATTTTGTTGGTAATTTTCCTCTTTATATAGCTTTAGTTTTTCAGTTGATAATTAAAAATTCGTTTCTCTATCACTTTTTACGTATCTACGGGTCGATTTTATACTTTCGAATGCATATGTTTTGCCAACGCTGCCACTTGCATATTTTTGTATATTAAAAGCAGTGCTGCCATGTTGGAGAAAATTGGTTTTTCTCTAGTTCATCTCAACTTCCAGTCAATTTAGGTACCACGAATTTCTCCAAGGTTGGAGAAAATTTTTTTGGTGTTTCTTGGGATGCATTTGCGAGTGTACATACATATATGTACAGTATAGAATGTATGTATTGGTATATTTCACACAGCCAACAAGGCACTAATGTCAACGACAAATGCGGCACTTTACCACCAAT